GCATAGCTGTGGCTGCGGGCTCGCATGACCGCTCACGGTGGGGAAGTCCACTGGATCGTCTCGCTCTGAGGGCCGCCTCCTTCACGATCTTCCGCCGGGAGGAGGAGATCGAGGACCTGACCAGGGGTCCTGGTGCAGGCCCATTAACCCCCTGGGCCCCTGGCAGCGAGACATTAACCGGGTTAGGAGGAGGAGAGGAGCCAGTTTGAAGCGGAGGGGATTCCTCTACGCCCAGGATGTTAAATCTGTTCTCCAGCTGGAGCTCACAGGGTGGGCGAGATTGTGGGCTGGATTTCCCTCGCCTTTTGCCATTTACCGTGGACCAGGGCTCTTGGCTGGGAGTGGAGCTGCTCGCTCTTAGCCTTGGGTTTGGGCTGAAGGTGAAAGTAGTCTCAGCCCTCCTGGTTGCCCACTTTGGCTTGGCCCCGAGCGATAGCCATGGGTCCTCGGCAGGGAGATGAGGAGCTGAGACTGAGAAAGCCGACCTGGGTGTTGCTGTGGCTGCATCGTCATCAGTGCGGGGCTGAGGAGCCGTGACTGTCCGCTCGGCTGGGGCCAAGCCGGCAGGGTTAGTGACCGGTGAGCCGGCATCGAACAATGGGACGGTGGAGTCAAGATCAGCGGAGTTTCCAGGACCGTGGGCGCCTACGGAAACCACAGAGTCGAGGCGAGCCTCTTCATCCCGGATCCAGTACAGGTTGGAGATACATAGCTCCAGCTCAGCGATTTTCTGGGACTTGTTGAGGCAGCTGGCACAGTCGTGTGGAGAGGTGAGTGGAGCCATGGGGAGCAGGTGGGTTGCCTAGGAAACAAAAACAACTACGGCAGCAATGGAGTGTGTGGTGACATAATACGTTTGTTTGTATTAGTCGGGAGGCTACTTCTACCAGCTTTAGCAGTTTACCGAGTCACAGAATGGAAACTTACACGCGGGGACTCCAACAGGAGTCCACGGCGGTGTGTAGTCACAGATCGGATAAGTTTTATGTCCTGCAGAGAGCGGCACTTACCGGCGCGGGCCCAGAGACTGGGCCCGTTGAGGTGAATGGATGCCCAAAACCAGTAAGCAGCAATCACTCAGGTGTACAGTAAACGGCAGGAAGAGCGTTAAAGAGGCATCAGAGTTGGCCGATGTAGTTATGGGGGTTTCTCACTGTCGTGCGAGCGGTATCATAGTCCAAGATCCAGTATTAGGCGGAAAGAAGGACGTATATTGCTGAAAGTTAGCGAGACGCCAATGTAGTTCGGGCGCGGCTGTGTCACTGTCTGCACAGACGCCCTAAAAATTCAAGATCCGCTGAGCAAGTATCAATGATTGGCCATCCGGCCAAAGTACACACATTAAACAGTTAGGGTTTAAAAAACCGCAGGTCTTTCAAAATAGAGGAAACTAGTTTTAAATGCTAAAACTGAGAACCGAAGTGACAGAGGAAGGCACGTCACGCCGCCATGTTACATCCGGGTCTTCTCAGACCCTGACAATGCCAATCCGGTCCCTGTATGACCAAAGTGAGAGCTGTATCCGCATACTTGGAGTACAAGTTCTTGGTGGGTGTTGGCCCAAGGTTGTCCCTTGTCACAGATCTTATTTGTGCAGCTGGGGGGAGGAAGGGATCTGGTTTGGGGATCTCAGAATTGCATCTCTGCTTTTTGGTAGATGATGTGGTTCTGTTTGCTTCATCACACCATGACCACCAGCATGCACTGGGGTGGTTTGCAGCCAAATGTGTAGCAGTCGGGATGAGAGTCAGCACCTCCAAATCTGAGGCCATGATTCTCTGCCCAAAACCAGTGGATTGCCCCCTCTCTGGGCTGGAGAGTTACTGTCTCAAGCAAGGGAGTTCAAGTATCTCGGGTCTTGTTCACGAGTGAGGGTAGAATGACGTGTGAGATGGATCAGCAGCTGTGGGTAGAGACCGAAAGAATGAGATCGTAGATACAAGCGGCGGAAATGAGTTTCTTCTGTGGGGTGTCTGGGCTCAGCATTAGAGATAGGGTGAGGAGCTCAGACATCCGGAGGGAGCTCGGAGGAGAGCCACTGCTCTTTCGCATCGAAAGGGGTCAGTCGAGGTGGTTCGGGCGTCTGATCAGGACACCTCCTGGGCGCCTCCTGCTGGAGGTGTTTCAGGCAGGTCCCACTGGTAGGAAGCCCCGGGGTAGACCCAGAACACGCTGGAGGGATTTCATATCTCATCTTGCCTGGGAATGCCTTGGGGTCCCCCAGAAGGAGCTGGAAACCATTGCCGGGGAGAGGGATGTCTGACAGATGCCTTTCATGCAGTCGCCAGTGGCTGGTTTTAGATCATAAGGCAAGTCGCCTGTATTTCGGCTGTCAGAGCTGTGCCAATTAAATGTGATGACGGCTCAACAAACATTAAACATTAGACATCAGTGCACAGGACACAAGGACAGGACTGCTGCTTCATTCATGGGTTTTTTACGTGCATCTGAGTGCCTGTGCCGTGTGTAATTGAAATGGGAAGGCGCAGCAGAGCCAGTGGGGTTTCTTCACAAGAACACAAATAATATAACATATTACACACAGTTTTACACACAGAATATCCTCTAAAACTCTCAATATCCTCGTGAACTGCCTTTTGCTGACAACAATCCCATGCAAAGCAGCAAGTACAGAGTGAATGACTGAATGAATGAATGAAGATTCAAATTAATTAAAACGTGCGCACGATGTATATTTTTTCCTCTAACGGCCACTGCCGGGCTCAGTAATTATTACAAAAAGGTCAACAAAACAGGTTTCCAAATTCAAAATAACTTCATTAATCTTCAGTTTAATGAATCTTCAGTATTACACCTTTAAGGTTACTTTTCTTTCAGACATTTTTTGAAGATGTGGTCTCACTGATTAACTGAAAACAATTATACAGTAACGAAAAAAATAATATCCTAACGAAAATAGAAGTCTAATCAAGTAAACAGCTTTCAGACAGTGCATCAGCAAAAGCCCAGTTCTATACTGCTGCCTGCTGCTGACACACGCAGTGTGCAACTGAAATGTCTGCACTGCAGCACTGTAGCTGTGCCATATTCCACAATATCCAAACTTCTGAATGGCGGATCCTTTAGAAAAACGAGGAAGGGCCGACATTTCGAAAGGCAGGAATTTTCGTAATGGTGGGACTTTTGAAAAAAAGGTGAAGGACCGCCAGTCTGAATAATGCAAGTTAACATTCGAAGAGGCAAGGTTTCGGAAAGGCAGACAGTTACCCCTGAAAAGAGTCGTTGCTATAGAAACGATACGCTTCCACGTTTGATAAACTGAATGACTGCAGGCTGTTTTTTTGTGAGAGAGGCGCCATCTCATGGCGATACCCTGCAATTGAACGAGTGGGCGTGTTTATGATTAAAATAGGAGAGGGAGGGGGGGTAGAGCCAGCACAGCTGGCTGGCAGCCAGCTGGAACTTGGCTGGTATTTGGCTGGGATTCGACAGGCAGCCGGCTGACAGCCGGCTGGGAAGGGGAACTTTTGAGTGGCTCCTACTGTACAGTTAACTGTCCTCCCATTTCAAATGAAGACGCCAAAACTTGGTGAAATGAAGACCTCAGCGTGGACGTCGATCAATTCAGCTAGCTGTCTCAAGTTTCCCTCCCTGCTTGAGCCACATCAGAACAGACAGAAAAATATGGTGCATCTTGCAGTTCTGTGGCTAAATGCTCCTGGCTGTAAGGAGCGAGGACATTTTAAACTAAAGCCTCACTTTTTGTTCTTCCACATGACATTTTTGTGGCAATAGTAGAATCATTAAAGATCTTGACGCAATCTACTACTACTTAGCTGTGGCCATGTTTCACTCTATGGTACACACTGGTAAGCTCTGCCGCTGCAATCTTGTCTTGAACCTTTTTTGGTCATAAAAGTTGCAATAGCTGCCTGTTTTTGTTTGTTTTATACCACAACTTGATACTTTTTTGTTTTTGCGTGGATTTCCAATGCGTTTTTCCCTTCATATTTTACGGAGATTTTAGCCGGACACAAAATGCATGTGGTGGAAAAATGGTCTCCCTGGGTCGGCCGTACCCATTCAAACTCTGAAAGTTTCGCCCAGTCAGGATTGTAACTAGTATATCATTTTTTCTGTGCTGGTGGCTTGCATGTATTTGCTCTTGTCAGTCATCTCTCCTTCCATTTCAAATGAAGACGCCAAAACTCGGTGAAAAGAAGACCTCAGCGTGGACGTCGATTAATTCAGCTAGCTGTCTCAAGTTTCCCTCCCTGCTTGAGCCACTTTGAGCGCTGGAATGCGGGCGCGTGCGTATGACGTACGCATAGACGGGAAGAAAACTGAGACAATTTTAAATAGCCACGGAACCACGGGTACCTTTCTAGACTACAGAATGAGGAAATCAAATGAGGTTTTTGCATTTTCCCCAAAAAATGGGACAAATTGTGTCCCGGGGGAGATTTTTTTTTCCCCGGACAGCTGATGAAAAAAAGAGAACAATTCTGGGAAAAACGAGACAGGTGGCAACTCTATGTACAGTTCACCTCCATTTTGTGCGCTAAGCAGCAGGCAGCTCTGCCCCACCGATCTCAGAACAACAGGCACTGATAATTAAAGGTAATGTACCTACCCATATGACTATAGGGATTACGGCAATAGGCGAATTTGCCAAAATGTGGAACTATCCCTTTAAGTCCTAAGATCGCTCTTAACTGGGAAACGCGGCTAATCACTGTATAATTGTTGAGAACAAAGTCATGTAACAACCATCAATGCAAACCAAAATCATCAACCCACTGAGAGCTGGATTCAGAATCACACTGAAAATCAAAGTAAAAATTGAAATCACAGGCTGATCCAACTTGTGTGAATTTTATCACAGCAACTCATAATGTGGATCAATAGTGTATATGGCCCCTGTGTGTGTGTATGCACTCCCAACAACGTCTGTGCGTGCTCCTGATGAATCAGCGGATGGTGTCCCTTCTTGAAATGTTGTACTAAATCTTTCGTGCCATTTTATCTCATGTTGTCAGGCTGCAGGACTGGTGTGTGAATTGAGGCAGAAGTGGCAGAGTTTGTTCATCAAGAGGATCCGTTGTCCTTCAAAACCCTGTTCTCAACAAGACGAGGCCATCCTACGGACCCTGGTTTCTGTATGTCATATTCTCTTTTTTTCCTCTAAGTTTCACTTGGTTTTGCAGGAACTAGCAACACCATACAGTAAACAGAGCAACACCAGTATATGTACATAGGTATCAGATATCGGATGAAGCTGTCATCCTCCTCTTCTTTTTAGTGCATTAAGTCTGTGTACAGTTCCACTATGTTCATTGATTAATGTTGATAATGTTATAAATGCAGCTATATATCAGAACTTAGTTATCATTTTGTTTTATTCATAGCACTGGGTGTAGTAAGGATATGTTAAAAAAAAAAAAAAAATTGAAAGTAAAATTTCTCAATAAATAGTTCCTACAAGCCTATACTTGTAGTTTCAGCCACACTATATTTTTATATAATCAGTAGCTCACAACACCCATTTGAAATATTGGTTAATCTTCACAATACATGTGAACTATGACCCAAAACTTAAGGCAAAAACCTAACTGGCAAACTGGGCAGTTACCAGATGTGGGGTGTGTCACTGCAATGGTTTGTGTTACCTGCCTTGTTTCATCCATGTGCCTAATTTTTAACAATATTTCCATGATGCAAAATGCTACTTTTACATTTGTTAATGTTGACACACCAAATTAGGCCCAACCCTACATGAACCCATATACTTTCTGTCCAAGCCTGACCCTAGCCTTCAACATCTCTCAACATTTTTATTAGTTATAATGGGTTGATGGCAACAAAGCCCATACATTATTTATGACTTAACACAGACTTTAAAGGGCCAGTGTGTAAAATGGGTTGAAAACCGTTGAAAACAGTGACATCAGTGGTCAAATTCTAGATTGCAGGGCTCACTCGCTCACCCCTCCCGTCGGGTAAATGACGGTGGCCTCGTAGGGACAAAAAGCCTTGCGCACGAGTTTTTCAGGAGTAGGTCTATCTAGCGACGAGGTGAATGTTTATTTAGAAATCTAAACCATGTTACGATATTGTAATGAATCCCTCACGAGCAGGAGACCAGAGGAGCGTTCGGGAAAAAGGCCCGTTTATTTGAGCACTCCAGAAACTCCGGTAACACTCCAGGGGGTAAAAGACTCCGTCCCAAACTCTGACTCTTCTAGCGTAACAGACACACTTCATAACTTTACACACATACTCGTTTACCATACCGAGTGGGGACCCCCCTCCCCTCTCTGCTCCACCAATCTCCAGCCCGCACACTGACTGACAGCGTAGCCGGTAAACAGAGCTCAGCTGTTTATTTAGCCTAGCAATATCTCCGGACTATAGTAGCTGCAATGGACGACTTTGAACGCGATTTTGAAGAGTTTCTTGTAGCGGACACAGACCCAGAGCCATACCTGTTTGAGCCGGAGCATACAGATGAGGAACTCCATGTGTTTGATGCTGAGCGGGCGAGAAGAGAGGCTGAATGCACAGAATGGGATTCGGTGCTACTGCTACCATCGTTGGGGAGATATATCATCAGGAGGAAAAGCGCCGCAGAGAGTGCATCACAAGGAGTGAAGTTGCGTCTTCTTTTCCTCGCAGATGACGGTTCGGGTTCATTCTCTCCTGTTGCGTGGTAAGTGTGGTCCATTCGCAAACTTTATAACTAAAAAAACTTTTCACTACTCTCTATCGACGAACTACTAACACTCTCTGCTGTTTCCTCCTCCTTCTTCCTTCCTTCCGCTGTCTTCGTTGGTTCATTTATACACGCGAAACGCGTTCTCTGGCTGGCTGGATTGTCCGCTCGGTCTGCCGTACATACATGGCGGCGCAAGATGGCGACCTCTCTAAAGCAAGGCCCTTGCTATATATATATACATAAAAGCATAATTATAAGGCTACGAAAACCAAACGAATTTTATTTTATAGCGATTATACACTTGTATAAACATATTAATGGGTAGAATATTCAGATTCAGATTCAGATTGACAATAAACCATGCCAAATATTACACACTGGCCCTTTAAGGTCTACATTAAAAGAGAAAATAAAACCCACTGTGATTCAGGCCCAAAGAAATTTGGAGAAATTGCAGCCAATCAGGATTGGACAGAGAATCAGAGCTCTAATCTCTATCTGTACCTTTAATTTACTGATACTACTATGATTTGCAGTATGGATACTAGGATGTAGGGTAATGACTGGAGCTAAAACTGATGCCCCTCAGGTTCTTGCAGCAGAGGAGCAGGAAGCAGGCCTGCAGCAGCCCACAGGCATTGGCCAGCGGCCTCGGCCCATGTCATCAGAGGATGGCTCCCAGGCTTCTGTTAAGAACTCCAAGCACAGCACCCAACTACACACCAACACCACCGATGACAGGTATTAAGTAGTGTCCAAAACATTTACATTGCAGTAGTGTTGTCACAATACTGGAATGGCCAACTTCATTAATAAAAAATTATAAATATTGACATTTGATACCATTTTTGATAGTACAGGGGAAAAGTAGGGCATAAATGTAAAAGTTTTCATCAAAAGATAAATATAATAAGGCTATAAAATGACAACGATTACTTTTCTTTTCTTGGTTAGTAGGCCTGTCGCGATATGCGATAAGTCGGTTAATTGCATGGTAAACGTGTTTGTTTTCCTCGTCTCTCTCCACCAAAGAGACTGGACGACAAGAGCGTTCACTGCCGTGCATCGTCTGGCAGCCAGGTGAGTTGGTTCATTAGCGTAATGAACGGAGGGAAAGCTCTTGTCATCAAGTGTCTTTGTCTCTGTGGGGGAGGCGGGGCTATGGGTTACACACACAGACACAGTGCGATCTTCGTGAGGGGGAGACGAGGCGGAGGAAAAAATAAACAGTTGAGCATAAGAGAAAGACAGGGAACTTGTTCCTAAACCAAATGCCACGGCCCCTGTGTGGGAGTATTTTGGATTGAAACCAAATGACAGAGGGGAGCCCAGTAATTTGGATGAGCTGGTGTGCCGGGTTTGTTCTAAAACCATTTCAACAAAAAGAGCGAATATGACCAACTTAACTGCACACCTGAGAGTGAGAGACTGACAGTCTATTTTTTTGTATTTATTTATTTATTTAGGATATTTAAATTTTCTTTATTGCATTCCTAAATATTCTTGTTAAAAATGTATTTCTCTTTAAGTGTGTACTTGCATCATTATGCCTTTATTATCATTATATAAGTTTAAAAAGATGTCAAAAAACAGCAAAATTACAACAATAATAAAAATGGTCTTAAAAGCACAATATTACGCAATATTATTGCTTTTCGCAATAATTTCTGACGCAGTTAATTGCCCAGCAAAATTTTTTATCGAGACAGACCTATTGGTTAGTACTAGAGAACAGCTGTATGGCTGTAATAAACATTAACAATAAGAGAGAGCAATAAAGTGCAGCAGGTACCAGTGCATCAGTACTGCTGAAAGATATTCACATTTGACTGGCAGTGCTTGCTGTAAGGATCTGTGTCAGCCTCCTGATCAATTTGTTAATCAGTGTGTCTCAAAGCACATACTTCTATACAAAACACTTAATATTTTGAGTGCACAAGTGCGCTAAGTGCGATCACACTGCATAGCACAGAAAAGTCATAGGCTGTAAAGATAATGGGTGTAGCCACTGCAACTTCATCCAGCAGTTTGTGGACTGCCATTTTGAAACCTCTAGTTTGGCATTTTGGTCATTGCAATCTTGGATATCTGGAGCCAGACATGCAAATTTTTGGATGAGATGGTGGCGCTATGGAGGAGCGAGGGGAGGCCAGAGGACACTACGCATGCCCACCTACACCAGTAACCTAACTGAGCGCTGTACCCAGCTTCCTGTGCTAAATTGCCGCTAATAAAGTTAGCTTCCATAATTCAAGGTAAACTTTGGAGGTAAGTATTAAAGTAATCTTAGTGACAGTAGCTAATTGCATACATGTCCACATTTGGCAAATATTAGATATAAGACACGTAACTTTAAGCTTGTAATGTTATTGTAGCGTCAGCTGAAGTTAATGTGACTGTGTGTAAGTTACTGTTTAGTGTGTGGTTAGCATAACTGCAATTATGCTGTGGTTAACACTTTGGCTGTCTTGGTGAGCCGATAGCTCAAAAGCCAGCAGATGAAATTTAGCTTATTTAACTCAGTTAACATTACACCACTGTTATTGATTAATGTGTAGTATTCTCCTGGTTACATGAAGTAATGTTGCAGTTCAAGGTTTAGTGAGTGTGTGTTAATATGAATGCTCTGTGGCTAAGGTCAGTGGCTGTAGGCTACTTTTTTGCATGCAGGTCCTGTTCATTTCAGTGTTGATGACAGTTGTCAAAAACATTTGTTGGAGTGATTCTTTCATTCTCTTTCTGAAAAGGTAACAATACAGAGTGCTGCATCATTTCATGTGCACCCACACAAAGCCACAGAAGTGAGTAATAGTAACGTTTCTATTCCTGTTTAGTGTAAAAAAATACAGCAGATTATGTTTTACATCTAAACTAAGTGAATGATGTATTTTCAGATAACTGTGTGGAGCTCATCTAACACTGTTGTTTCTTTGTTATTATAATATATTTTTCTCAGTAGCCTACAATATGATCCATTCCTCACGATGGCAATGTTTTTTTTTCCATCCAGCCACTGTCTGGATCACTTGAGACAGCTACGTCCGGCTTGGGGCTGAGAGAGCTACAGAGACCATGGGGAACAGCCTTGGTGTTGATGATATATACATATATATATATACATATATATACAGTACAGGCCAAAAGTTTGGACACACCTTCTCATTCAATGCTTTTTCTTTATTTTCATGACTATTTACATTGTAGATTCTCACTGAAGGCATCAAAACTATGAATGAACACATGTGGAGTTATGTACTTAACAAAAAAAGGTGAAATAACTGAAAACATGTTTTATATTCTAGTTTCTTCAAAATAGCCACCCTTTGCTCTGATTACTGCTTTGCACACTCTTGGCATTCTCTCCATGAGCTTCAAGAGGTAGTCACCTGAAATGGTTT